AGGGGAGCAGAGATTCGGAGAGAGGCACAGGCAGTAGAACTCGACGGTGAAACGGATTCCGTATATGAAAGTCCCGTAGTGGAGGTGGAAGAATTGGAGGTAGATTATCGAGTACAGTCGCTGTTGTTTTGCGCAGGGTGTCCAGAGCTTTCGAATAGGTCAAGTTCACTGTGTCACAGATATAATGCACGCAACAATCAGACGAGTGTGATCAATGTAAATGTAAAACATACTTTGCTTCTCATGTATGATATTTCAAACCTTGAAAAAAAGAAAATAAAAAAATATGTGCCCGATACCAATGTATGTCTCCTCGCAGCTTACCTTGAAAATAAAATCTTAGAACCCGCACCATCATACCTAAACAATAAAACACGAGTGACACTCTTCCCCACCCTCGATCCCCGAACTAAATTTCTCCCTCAATATCCTCCTCGGCGTCCATGACCAAGTCGGCGCCGGAAGCTCATCCTTCGGGCCCTAGTTATACTCCTCCTCGTTCATAGCCCGCATTGTAACGCCCGTTATCCTTCCCCATCACACCGGAACGCGGATGGTCGTGGAGCAGCTTGTGTAACGATATCCCCCGAGGCTCCAAGAACCAGCGCGTGGTGGAGAGTTATTCACTGAGCTCTGCATTTTATGAAAGTTATGGAGCGAGAGTGACCAAAGGCCCATCTACCCCTCAGCACCCCTTTTTTGCCCCGAAAGGATGAACAGTTAAAAGAATGCGTAAAGAATGGCTAAACGAAGGGGGTCATTCATTATTACACTGGGACAACGACACTGGGAAATCCCTCCCCTTCTTCCGATTAAAGAGCTAAAATCTGAGTTGTATATGATCACGGTTAGACAATTACTTAAATATTTATTACATTCCCTTTGGGTTAAGGTAATATAAGGGATATTATTTGTATTTTTGAAGAAAATATTTATTATCCCGACGTGTTGAGCGGGAACATTTTTATAAAAATAATAGAATGGCCATTAGGCAAGATCCTTAGCTAGCTAATCAATACAAGGATTTCGAAAATAAACAACAAAAGGAGGGAAAAAAAAAAAAAAAAAAAAAAAAAAAAAAAAAAAAAAAACATGAAGAAATCTTATCTAGTCTTGATCTTAAGATTACAAAATTGTAAAGTATGGGCAAGGTAGTTAGTTGCAAGATCCGGAGGGAGAAAGGGGGCTGCTGGGTGTCGGAAATTCTCTCATTCAATACCTCTATAGTCACCGTCTTTATTTTTGGTGGAGAAGGGAAGTAATTAGTAGAAAAAGGACAAGACCAAAAGAAAAAAGAAATGGTGAAGCAAAAAACAACGCGGAAAACCACCGCGTGCATAGATTAGCAGGTAGAGATGCATAGCTGAATTAAATGAGACAAAAAGAGGCAAGAGGTATAAAATGAACCCAAGAAACTAAGGAAGATTTCAGGGAGAATAAAAAAATACCAGCCAAAAATGAGATCAATAAATGTTCGTTAAGAAGGGGGGTGGTCGGATAGTACGGAGAAAGAAAGGGCTCTGAGGACGAAGAAGGGACGGTGAAAGAATTCAATCCGAAATATTCAACTCCAAGGGGTTGGCGGGAAAGTGGCAAACGAGAGAACAAAAGGGGGGAGTTCGTATGATGGAGACATGATATAGGATAAGGATAACTCGGTCGTGGTTATATAAATCCAGTGATATGGCTCTGCTCGAAGATGACATAGAAATCAGACCCGGGTTGGACGACGGATGGAGACGTGTCGCGGGCGGCCAAGCCAGAGAGATATGCATAAAGCCCTACCGAAACATCACTGCATTGTCGGAAGGGCAACAGCCAAAGCAGCAAACACGCTTGCTACTCGCAGACAATCATGAGGCTCGAAAACAAAAACGTAGCGGAGGCACAGAGACCAGAGAACATTGGAGACGTATGCGGGTATGTATATGCTCGTCTGCACTCACGCACCACCAGCCAACCCCGCGCCCCGGGGGACCTTAATCCTCCCAAAATTCTCATCGAGATCCAAAATAAGCTTCAACGCATTTCTCGACCGTATATACGGCAAAGGCGCGGTGGCCCGCTGACCCAACACAGGCTCCACACTTCCAATAGTCGTCCTAGCCTCCTCCACATGCCTGCTCCCAGGAAGCGGAAGCCACTTCTGCAGAACCTCATAGGAGGCCAGCGTGAAGCCGAACTGCGGTGATGAGCGGAGGATACGTGCAGGGCCCCCCTTGAAGAAGGCGCGGAACCCCTCTTCTTTCATGATTGTGCTGGCGCAGTGGCTGAGGGAGGTGTATTTCGTCTCGCCCTTGCGGGCTTCTACTTGTAGTCTCGTCTTGATGACGTCGCAGGGTGTTGTGAGGTAGGCTGCTGGCATGCCTGCGATGGCGCCGGCGGTTAGCAGATGGAGGACGCTGAGTTTTTTGGTTGGCGATTCGCCGAAGAAGTCGGATTTTAGGTGCGCGTAGGTTGGGAAGTAGATGGCGGAGAATGGGACTGGGTGACAAATTCGTTAGAATGCATTTCTATGTAATGTACAATTGTTCAGGGGAAGTGTAATGGATGGTTTACCATCGCGAAGCAAACAGGCGCTGGCTCCTTTGTACAATCCCATCAACCCCAGATTCTTGACGATCCACATGGCTGATCGACGTGGTGCACCATCGACGCTCTTGGCGATCTCCCCCTGAACTTGTAACCGGATCTTCACAATCTCAAGGGGGTTTGTGAAAACCTAATCGATGAAATTAGCATCGACGAAGATCTGTTTAAGAAACAACATATATATATACAGGTGAGTCTGTGAGTGCGTGCTTGACATACCACTTGACATCCGCCAGCCATACCACCCGCAAAAATCTCCCAGGGCAACGCAACCTTACCCGTCTTGTCCGTCGCCGCCCCTCGAACTAGGTCATTGACCGTAAGCTTGATAGCTTTTTCAGGCGCAACACCAATCAGTTGTGGTAAGACACCGGAATAAAGTCCCAGAACACCTTCATTCCGAATAACCTTCCTCGCGCAATCGAGAGAATTCCTATACAACTTCTCACCAACACGAGCACTTCTTTGATTCTGCATTCTTGTCTTAACAAGATCGATGGGGTAGACCATAAAGGCGCCGAAGGCGCCTGCAATGCTGCCCAGGCCGAAATGATGCACCGATTCCAGGATACTTTGCACCACCTGTTTTGATTTCGTAGCTGCTTTATCTGCTGCTTGCGAAACGCCTTGTATGGCCGCCTCGCCAAGCGCGGTAGTAGTGTGCCATGACGCATCAACAACTTTGGCAAAGTCGTTTAACGAGAGTTTCCCGGACGGTGCATCAAGGCCCGCAAAATGGAAGAGAATATCAGCTTCCATGGGTGTGAAGAGGGAAAAGCGCGTGACGCGCGCAGCCTCGTTGAGGAAATCGGAACGGGAGATTTTGCCATCTGCACTCTTGCTGATGGCGCTACGGATGATAAAATCGATCATGTCCATTTCTCTAATTATATTCTGAAAGGCGCGAACGTTGGCATACGAGATCTTACTCCCCTCGCTGATGGTGCATAGGGAAGGTAGGTTTTCTAGCAAATGGTCAGAGAGCTTGTGTTTGGCAGTCTTCAATATGATGCGCTGGAAATCTTCGGGCTCTATGTAGCCATCACCATCCCTGTCGAAAAGGTGAAATGCTTGTCGTATTCTCTCGCCCTGAAGGCCACGAAGCATCTGGGCGAATTGGGGATACGTCATGTCATGTTTCTTCTTCTTCCGTCCCGTGTACAGCGATGCCCATTCTGAGTTCCAGTCAAAAGGAATTGTGTCGTCCCCCTTGGTCTGGTTGTAAAATTTCTGGAATGCATCGTATTTGACAGTCCCTGTTCCCTCCACGTCAAACAAACGAAAGGCAATCTCATATTCAGCATCAGGTTTGGCAATTAGGGTCTCAAAGGCGATCCAGTCTTGAAGATTGACCTTTCCCGTCCTCCGTCGATCCGCGACTCTGAATAGGATACCATATTGTTCGCGTTTAATTTTGTGCTAAAGATGACCCAAGTAAGCAAAAGTGCTAGAAAGGACGATGCTCTGGTAATTGCCAATGAGATCCATGGATGACTCAGAAAAGGGGAAGCTCACATAGTCCTCATGTGCTGGAGCAACGGCATTGATGAAATCCTCCTCATTCATGTACCGCTCTCCGGTTTCGCTGTCTGTCCTGGCATGACGCTGGAAATGTGGCTTGATCTGGCTGGTCACGGGCAGGCCTGAGTCAGTAGCGAAGGCCACAGCAACTGAATCCTTTATACTCTCCTTAATACCGGCCATGATAAAAGATAGGGTGGGTTTAACAAAACCGCAACGACACAGCTGCTGCTAAGCTATCCAAGTGAGTGCGGAATTCGCATATATAGCGAAATAAAATATATATATATATATATATATATAAAAAGAGACCGGATTCTCCACAATCCCAAAGCCACGACTCCAAGGGATGTAACGAAGGCTAGACTGGCAATATGAAGAATATGGAGCTATCCAAAGAGGGATAAATATTAATGGAAGAAGAGAAGCAGCAGCTAAGAAAGGATTAAAAAAATGTACCAAAATAGAAACACAAAGAGAAAAAAAGAGAAAAATCAAGACA